GCATGCGTTTGAGGGCAGACGTGCAGTTTTGAACATGAGCAGAGTTTTAAAGGAGAGCAGTGCAACATTAAAACAAGAAATCACTCTCTTCATTAAGCAGGATATTGTAAAAAAAAAAGTGAAATAGGAAACAGAATCTGTCATCCAAAACCACAAGAATTATCTTTGTGCTTGCACATGTGATAAGAAGATGGAAACACAAACACCTTTCCTTCTTAGGAAAGGAACACCAAAATGGAACTGGCCCTTTGAGTGTGCTTAAACAAAACCTCATAAAACTGCATTCAAGTTTGTTTAGACTCTTAAATTTACACTTGAGGAGAAAATTACTCTCAGGTCTAAATAAGTGCAATCTTTTCTGTTCAAAGTTTGTTTGTTTTTTTACTGGATATTTTCACAGTATAGAATATATAAACAGTGTCCTGCATCTGTTGTAATCTCAACTGTCCGCTTAGCCCATTTATAGATGCATCACACAACCACTTACCCACCAAACCAGACTTTAAGACTTTTTTAAGTAAAAAAAACAAAACAGAAACGATAAGCGTTCCAAGAGTGCAAACCTTCACCATGGTAGCTCAATCTCTGAGCAGTACTTACTTTTAAGGGAATAGTATTAAGTATTAAACATCCAACAGTCAAAATTTTTAAGAAGTTAGTTTTAAAGATAAAAGACATTTTATGAAAGTTTGATTTTGTCGAAAAGGTCAGTAGTTGAAAGTAATGTGATATTTAGAATCACCACATATCCCCCGCTATGTAGTCAGTACAATTTATTGACCTTGAAGAAGTCAAATGTGAAAAGCACATCACGACTGAACAGTTCAGGAGTTACATGTTACAACTGCTTCTGTTCTGCACATGTCAAAAAATCGTCAAGGAGAATGCGTGCTGGATTTTAAAAGATTGCATCGTGTTTGAGTTTTTTTGTAATCCAGTGAGAAAATGTTAAAGGGAGACAGTCCTTCCAGTTGAGTTGCATGGCCAGTGAAAGTGCAGAAGGATAGCATGTTACGATTGTGAAATGATGTGCGCCTTGTAGTGCAAGACCAGATGTAGGAGTGGAGGGTTTCATTGCTTCTTTTAGTATTTAAGAGAACATATTGTAAATTGACTGCCAGAATTGATGCAGTCTTGGATAAGTCCACAACATCTGTAATGACTTCTCTGCTGTAGTGATCTTTCTTTTGTTATGTTCTTGTCTTTACTCTGTATAGTAGTTTATAGTAGTAGAAGGCATACCTTCAAATGATTTTAATACTAAAATATCGTCAAGCCTCTACCAAACATCTGTTGTTACGCTACAATAGCAGATAGAGATCCAATGGAATAATGTAACCCCGAATGTTGAACGTGGTAATACACATCTTCTTTCATTTGTCTGGTACGTAAGTGGTCCAGTGATACCCTGCTTTTAACCATTCCTCGTGTTTAATAGATTACACACTGACTTTCTAATCCAATTTCACAAATCAAAAAGAGCTGGAGACTTGTATTCCTCCCTGTCTACCTACATACCAGTCCACCTGTAACCATGAGTCCATGCAGCAAAGGTAGTTTCCATTCCTATCCACGATAGCTTTCTTTCACCCCTGTTTATCTCAGTTGTGCAATTATCTTCCTGTCACTTTGTCTTTCTGTGTGTTCTGGTGTATCTACCTGGCTACTTTTTTTCTCCTCGCCTGTCTCTCACTCTCGTTTTGTGTATCACTGTGCCTGTGATTAAGTCGTCTATTTCTTCCTTATGCCCGTGTCTCTGTCATCTGTCCAGTCTTAGCTCCCTCTGAGTTAAACAGGCCGAACAAATAGATTACAAACAGTGGGTAGAGTGAATCTAAGGAGGAAGACAATCTGAATTTGTTGTGGATAAAGAATGAGGAAAGAGGCTGTGCAGTCAAAGAAAGCCAGTGGAGTCAGAGTAAGGCTGTATTTGCCTGAGGGGAAAAGGCTGAAAAGTAGCTCTCGCAACAGATGTGCGGGGCAGTAAAGTGTAATTGAAATGCCAGCAGCAATGGTCTTATCTCCCTGCTACAGGAGCCTGCTGCCAGTCTCAACATCAGTTAGATGTCATTTTACCTAAGTCTGAATCAGCCTGCCACAATCCGCAATCCCCATTCCTCTGATGCTAGACAGGAAAAAAAGGGGAGAAATGAGGGGGAGGGAGAGGAGAAAGAAGAGAAGGGAGAGAAGGGTGGGGAGTCTGTAATAGGATTTCAGTAGCATCCAGTTAACTTCCACCACCTGGACTTAGTTGGTAATTTGATATGCCCCATCAATAGGATTCATTTAGCTCACCGCAGCATTACCATTGCCATTCATTTAATTTGACTTTTTCAAAAATATATTGATTTATTTCTCCCTCCACATTTTCCCACTCGTCCTGATCCTAATCACAGTGGAGGAATGAGGGAAGGGGTGTTCCAAAATATTCTAGCTGTAAAAAGTAGACCAGACCAGAGGAGGTGAAACGCCAGACACCATGACTTTCCTCTGCGCTCCAGGCAGAGCTTAATGTTTTGGGCCTGGCAGCATCCCTATGGGGAGAACCATAATGTCCTCCCAGATTAGAGGCTGGCACTCCTCGGAGCTGCTGCCTTTTATCGGGAACTTTGTTACCACAACATGGGATCATCTGCAGGATATTAAAGCTGCCTTATTTCCTAACTGTAATCTTAATCTTTTGTGATTTTGTTTGTTATCTGTGTTGCTCTGACAACCTCCATCTGAGATTTTTCTTCAGTTACAGGTTTATATTTTTCAGTCTTTTTCATGCAACATGTGGCAGAAATGATTGGAAAGGGGTTGTTTTTATTGCTTTAAACGTCACGTCTAGCTGGATTCTAATAATTATAATCACATACAAACCCAGGCTTGTGATGGTTTTGTGTTGAAAAAAGGTTTTTTGTAAAATTGTATTCTGCCATTCTTGAAGGCCGGACAGGGTGTTAAGTTCCTTTTTCTTAATCAAAATGCAAAAAAAAATTTTTTCTGTGTATTTGAACGTCTCATATCTTTACAGCTGCTGATTTTCTCATTGTCTTCTTCCAACCATCGTTTTTGCATTATATTTTTTCACTTCGGTGATATGTTGCACTACTACAAACAAAAAACCCGAAAGGGTATTTTAGATAAACTAAAATAAAAACGAACCTTTATGCTACAGGTACGTTAGGGAAAACAGTGGTTAAAGACTGTGGCAAGACCAAAATTATTGCAATCAAGCAATAATCTTACACTCTCATTGCCTTTGAAATGGTTGCTTCCAAGACAGGGACAGGGCTGCAACCACCGCTTCCTTGGTGCAAGCGTTGGCAGTTCGTCTTGTAATTGGAAGGTTGCCGGTTCGAGCCCCGGCTCCAAGAGTCTCGGTCGTTGTGTCCTTGGGCAAGACACTTCACCCGTTGCCTACTGGTGGTGCTCAGAGGGCCCAGTGCGCCCCAGGGGGCACTGACAGAGGCGCACTGTGGCTACAATGTAGCTGCCATCACCAGTGTGTGAATGGGTGAATGACTGAATGTAGTGTAAAGCGCTTTGGGGTCAATAGGGACTAAGTAAAGTGCTATACAAATACAGGCCATTTACCATTCGCTTTAAGACGTTTCACCTCTCATCTGAGAAGCTTCTTCAGTTCAAAGGTCAAATGGTGGAGAGTCCCAGATTTAAGCCCTATGGGAGTGTCTCCCCAAGAGGGACATGGACCCCCTATTGATCCTCTACCTAATCACACGAGCTGAGGTGTGAAAACGGGCGTAGGGCACAATCAGCTAAGGTTTCAGGTGAACTTATTGTGAAACCTAGCCCCACCCTATCATGTGACTTAGTGAGGTCAAATGGCCCAGGATGTGAGTGGGAGTTAAGGCGTCTGGGAAGGGATCTCTAAACTGGATTATAGATGGCAGACAGTTGGTGTCGTAAGTCGGCGGTGGCTTACCTTACTCCTGGAGGGAAGATGAAGGGAGCATCCCAACCATCTTTTAATCAAATTTTGAATTTGGGATCTCAGCTTGACAGAAAGGTTGCCAAACCATGTACTGATACATGTAACAGATAACAGAGTCAACAGCTGCTGTAAAAGTAGTATAAAAAATATAGTTCAATCACTGATATAGTTTGCGATTGAATGGGGCAAGTTGTCAGTTACATACAATCAGTTTTTTCTAATATTATAATTATATAATAATAAGTGTGATAAAAAAAAAACACATCTGATACCATCTGTTACAAATCTGTTTCCATTTTCATACAGAGAAATTCACGTTAAGCAGAACTGAACATCGACTGCTTCCACTCAAATCCCAGCCGAATTTCACAGATCTGAAACTGAAATTCAGAATTTCCTCCACAAACAGTGACATGCATCGCAGATGAATTGCATTCATCCGTGCAAACTAATTCGTATTGATTCCAACATGTTGGCGATCTTTCTGCATTTAAAAATTAGATGGCAGTTATTTGCAAACTTTCTCCAGTCAATCTAAGAGTGACTGAAGTTTGTCCAAGTTGGTTCCAATTGCTTGGAGACAGGTTGAAGTTGCTGAATGCTTATCCTCTGGGCAACCAGGTGGTCCCTGTAATTACTTCCAATCAGTCACCAAACACAAAAAATAAATCCTTGCATCACTGGAAACTAGACATTTTATTCAGTTGTGACTAAGCCATAAAACTCATCAGAATTACTGCAATTATATTTTTTTAACGTACAAAACGTTACACAAGCACACAGAGGCTCCGTGTTCGTTAAGTTAGGGAAGTGTGTCTGACGTTGTTTGATTTATATACCGCATTATTCTACTGTTATAAGACAGACTAGAACACTGAGAGTAACAGAAAAAAAATAGTTAAAATTATACACTCTTTGAAACTGAAGCTAAACTGATTTGAAAACCAGAATTTAAAAACTAAAAAACACCCCTTTAAAACGCTTATGATTACTCTGTCAGGAACCCACTTGTCTTTATGCTGCTACTAGCTTTGAGAATTTTTTATGTTTTTTCTTTCAGAGGGTGATTTTCAATGTGGTCAACTTCTCCAAGACAAAGAGCCTGTACAGAGACGGCATGTCCCCTGTAGTGAAGTCTACCAGCAGGCCAAAATGGTAAGTTTGCAACGACATAAGCAGCATTTCTAGAAGCAATATGTTAAATAATTAGTGCTCCGATTGTTGTTTAATATTGTCCTACTAGAACAGAGTATTTATAGACTTTCTGCAACTTTGAAATACTTTTCTTCTCCACCTGGCAGCTGACCCACACATTCCTAAGCACATAGACAGACACACACACACCCTAAAGACTGATACTTTAGATTTCCAGAGTGGATGCGTCTGGGTGCATTAGCATGTGATCCATTGGTTGCCAGTATGATGGCTGTCTGATGTAATAACGCTTGACTGATGGATGCAGAAATGTGTGTGTATGGTTGCATGCATATATATATATATATATATGTGTGTGTGTGTGTGTGTGCGTGCGTGTGAATGGATAGGTATGGCAGGAGGGAACAGGGAGGGTGCGGTGGGGTTGGGCGTAGCGTCTGCCAAGCAGACTGGTGTATCCAGTGGGGCGAAGAACAGGATAGCGTGATGAAGTGTTGCCATCCAAGAGAAGCCCTGACATCTGTCATCAGTTGATGGAGGGCATCCACAGAAACGCCAGGCATCTGCCACCCTGAGCTGTGTGCGTCTGCTAGCCTAGCGCTCGCACCGACCATGCCGTAGCATGCCGGTCGCAGGCTAATGGGAAGAGACAATGGGCACGACACCAGAGAAGTGGAAAGATGAACTGCTGTCTGCAGTACAGTACAGAACAACACGATGCAGCTTAGCTCGGCCTCCTGGCTCCTTCTGTTTTGATTTTATGTAGTAGTTGCAAGTTTGTCTGTTGTGCGTGTAGGGGTATGGCTTTATCACAGCGCACCAGCCTCTCCCATTGTCTCCTCCTGCCACTGACTGATTTACAAGTGAAGCTAGCAGCCGTTTGCTTTAAAATCTGTGGGGGGTTTTTTCAGGTAAGTTTATTTATACTGCCAAATAGGCTACTGTGACGACAGTTTAAATCCGCAGTAATTTATATGATAATTTCAGGTAATTAATGTCCCAGGTGACGAAAACCTGGTTCTGCATAGCCTTAACTTCTCATTTGACATAATCTTGAATTGCTGAGGAGTTAATCTGCGCAGAGCCCTCATTGGGTCATTTAGTTCCCAAAGCTTTTCTAAATACACTAATCATGCAACCTTGCCCATGTTTATGTTCCAATCAGCGCTCATAAAAAAGTGTTTAAGTGACAGACGCAGCAGGAGGTGATGTTACTGAGGCCTGACTCCATTTACCTCCTCAGGCTAATACTGTTTTAACCACTCCTCTCAGCACTGTGGCGTCTAAGGGGGCATAATGTCTCCTGCACTCGTAGAGATATTTTCCACTGTCAGGGGCGTCCAGGACCACAGCTGACATTGTTTGTGTCCCCACAAAGTGGTCAAGATGCTTTTAACACAACCTCCTCTATTTGACTTTCCATGAGCACAACAAAGCGCAGACAGCTCCTAAAGTAGCAATCTTCTTTTTGACAGCTACAGATATGGAATAAATAAAAAGGCAGAGCATGGAGAGCTTCGCCTGTCTGATCCAAACTCACACAAGACAGGATGAAGAAGGTACGAGAGAGAGAAAGAGAGAGAGATGGAAAGAGAGAGGCAGACTTGCAGAAAAAGACAGAAAGGATAGAGGAAGAAAAACACAAAGTACAAGAAAGAGATTACTGAGACAGGTAGACGGGGGAGGGGAGCGGGGAAAGGTTGCCCTCCGACTCCCACCGCCCACCACCCAATGTCTGTATTTATCAAAAGAATCGTCAGTATTAGCTCAGGAGTTGAAGCCTTTATCTCCCTGTGCAGGTGCCTTATGTCCTGGGGCCCCAGCATCGCTTGGTGCTAGAGGCTGCAGGGCTCAGCTGGCTTCGGCTAAGCTGGGCATTTCAGAGAGAGACAACTGGCAGATTACAGTCCAGCAGGACGTTTGTTGCTACAGGTGGAAGGATCTGTCCTCCATCCCTTACTCCATCCCTTTTTCGTCCATGACTCCTCCAGCTGTGAGCTGACAGGGGTCACTGTATTTTATCACATTGAAACAGAGCTATAGGTTGCAAATATGTTGTTGAATAAACTAATTTAAAATGACTACAGTTTACATTAATCCTTATATGATTGCCAAGGAAGTTTTTCAAGATTGAGTTGACCGTCAGCTTTAGCAAAGAGGTTCCTTTTGTCTTATCATTTGTGCTTTATTTGGTACTGCGATTTGGCTCGTGGAATTACAAATCGATTTCAAGTTCAGTGTTTGCAAGTCAAAGGAAATAGAGTGAGCCATATTTTCTCATACTAGTCTGTCGAGCACAACAGCCCCCTTGGTGACACTAGGTGCCAACCGCACTCCCTGCGGTCTGCTAGTTGTTAGACTGCTAGAGCAAAGAATTGCTCAGCATCCTTATTTTCTGGGATAAGCTAATTAGAAAGTCAAAGAGCGTGGTGTAATGCAGCTGCTGGAGGCCAGAATGCCGTGGGGTGGGGTAATGGCCAAGACGGTTGCATGAGACTGACTGCATCAACCGGCAGATGCCTCATGCAGAGTCTCGTGTGGGAGTGGGGTAAGACTAGAGAGCACAGGATGACGGCACAGAAAGTGGAAGATATTTTCAGCCTTGCATGAGAGGGCTACTGCTAGCAGTTATTTTTGTTTCATTTAACATGCAGATTTTAAAAAAAGTTTAAATGTTAATAATAAGTCACGGAGTCCAGCGCAACCACTTCAGATGTCTTGTTTTATTTATCCAACAGTCCAGCCCCCAAACATCAGTTTGTAGTGTAAATTCTCACATTTATGAACCCCAGAGTGGAGACTGTTTGGTTGATAAGTGATCGATTAACTTTATGATCAATAACTCTGATCTGGGCTACGATACAGCAATTAGTCTAGCAACTGAGTGGCTTTATAACCAGCCAGCATCATAAATAAAGTTTGGTTTTACAAATTCTTTAAGCTTTACACTGTACAGCAGATAATTTAGATTTTACATTTGTTTTGGATATTATTGGGAATTTGAATTCCCCCCAAAAAGATCTGCAGTGTGCCTTTTAATTAACTTTCCAGTTTTTCGACACTCAGTAGGTATATGGATAAAAATAGCTACACCTCTAACTGAGCCAGCAGCTGAACAGTCAGAGTTGGAGGAAACAGGTTGCCAAATATTGCTTCTAAAGTTAGAACCAGTCAACCTTGGGCAAGGGTAAATGCTTTTTCCCCCTTTTCTTTATAGGAGTCAACAATAAAACAGAAGCCTGCTTTTCAAGCAATTGTGCTCAGCTCCAAGAGACAGACAGAGTTAGTCAGTCGATGAGTCAGTCAGCGTCGTTTTGCTTCTCAGCCACAATCCTTCCTGTAAGCGTGTGATGCAATAGCTTAGTGAAATTCTATTTGGAGATGTCTGTCTCTCCATCCGGGTGAGTGTTAGCAGTAATTGTTCTGTCAATCAGCAATGCTGCTTCTCGCTTGTTTTCCTCACCACCTGGTATGTCCTGGCAGAGGGTGAGGGGCAAGGAGAGGTGAGACACGGGGAATAAAGGAGAAAGGATACCTCCCTCGCTCTATGTGCCGCTCCCTGCTCACCTTTGGATGTCTTTACAGTGTTATATTTGTCCTCTTGTGCGTCCGTTCTCACCTCCCTCTTATGTCCCATGTTTTCCTTGGTTTGTCTTACTTCTGCTTACTTTAATTCAGTTTTTCTTTTATGTTCATTTTTCCCCGTTGTCTTGTCATCTCAACTTTTTGCATAACTTTAATGTACCGTATTTTTCGGACCATAAGGCGCATTAAGCGAAACAAAACAGTCAGATAAGTCAAACTTTTCTCAACTCATTCTTCTTGCTTCCTCCACTTCTGTACCATTGATTCATTAATGTTGAATTCTCTCACAGCTGCTCTATTCCTATGTTGTTGCAGTATATTAATGACTAACCTCGTATTGTGGATAGGATTATCTCAGTTGTTCTCCTGACTGAAGTTTGGTCCGTTTACAGCATCGTGACATGCAATTGCATTTGTCCCTAACCATCGGGAACCCTCTCTTTAACTTTTATAGAGTGGAAAAAAGGTTAGCGTTCATCCTCCAGCTTCACTGCGTGTGTGTTATGCTAACATAGCAGCTGTGTCACTAGCGATCATGAAGCACATCATTATATACCAGCTAGCCCAACTTTAGTAAACCTACAAACCTCACTGCTGTTTAGTTTTCTGTCTTGATTTATGTTGGAAGTGATAGCAGAGCTATAGGTTTTAATTTATTCAAAAATCTCTCAGTCAGAACATGCAATATCATGGTCAAAGGAGCTTGCAAAGAAAGCTCCTTTGACTACGATGACCTGGATGACTGAGAACCTTCACAGAGACATGCTATATCATGTTTAGGTGGAAACTAGCAAGCTAACTTCCTGCTAACTTCTAACTGTGTTAAATTTCATAAATTCTGTTTTCATGGATGCCTGGATGTTAAACTTAATTGTTACACCTGGTAAAGCAGCAACGCTGATCTTTTTTTTTTAAAAAAGATGAAAGAATTTAGACCGTTTTTAACTCTTAGTGATGCCGCAGTGTTCGTTTGACTTTGGGACATGAAGCGGACTTTTGGACTCAGATTACTCTGCGAGGCTCCTGACTACGGCAGGTGTAATGCTCCGACAATCCATCAAGTGGTGCGGCTTCATAGCTTACCAAAGTCGTACTAAAACATTTTTTGACAGATTTTTGAGTGCCGTGTACCACATAAAATTGGTTCGAGGTCAGTAAGCACAACCTGAATTCATACATAAGGCACACCGGATTATAAGGCACAAAATTTTAGTTTTAAGTGCGCCTTATAGCCCGAAAAATGCGGTGCACGTCTTCCTTCCCTCAGCTGCATTTCAGGTATTGGGATTTTCAATGGCTCTGTAAACTGCGTTGTCATAATGTCTTAGTAAGAACTCATAAATAGCCTCACTGTTTATGTTTCATATGCTTGAAAGGGAAAAAAGTATCAGCCACTATAACTGCTATTTAAATCC